ATGTTATCATTAGGCTACCTACTTTGCATGTTTTTATGTTAATGTAGGCTGCAGGGTGTTCGATTTTCTCTTGTATAAGGTGCTACTACTACACGTCGTCTCTCGTTTTTCATGACATCATCACCACCACATGCTCGCACCAAGAGCCGCCTTTCACGACCATTACACATCAAGCGAAAAAGCTCAAGCCCTAAGACCAATCTCAACAGCAGCGAGGATGAACTCCATGAAACCAGCGTTGGTGTCAATGATGTTTTGAATGTACTCCTCGCTCGTAGGGTAGAAGTTAGTCGGGTAACCAAACTCCATGGTGTATCCGTAGACCTTGGTGAGCTTCTTGTTACCCTGCCATCGGCTGAAAGACCAGTCGTCAGTCGCGCCGGAAGTGGGGTAAAGACCAACAGCCTGTTGAGGGACGTATTCGCGGCCTCCAACCGAAATCATGGCATCGGTGGTGCGGTTGGCTGCGATGCGGATGTTGTCCCAGTCCTCTTGGTCAATGTACTCCTTGTACAGGTCGTCCTCGACGATACCGCGCTTGCCGTCGTAAGCAGGGTTGAACAGGTTCTGCTTGGGGTCGTGGGATTGGTCAACGTCGTCTCCCCATGAGTAGAGCAGAGTTCCGGCAGCAGAGTGGACGTCAATGTACCAGTGGATGTTGGGGTACTCGTCGTACACCCAAGCCATGTCTCGCGACTCGGGCTCGGAGAATGGCGCGGTGCCGTAGAAGGCTTGGGAAGCTGGGTTGGTTGAAGCTGGGGAGACGGAAGGGTCGAACTTCTCGGTGAAGTTCCAGAGGAAGTCGAAGTTCCTGTTCAAATCTACACCAACACTGAGGGGTTCGTTGGGCCTAGCAGAGGCTGGGTTGCGGTTCTTTCGCCATAGGTTGCTGTTGGCTTGGTCGTGGCGCACACCATCTGGGTTCAGCATGGGAATGAAGACTACTCCCGCACCGAGAGCCTTCTTGACTTGGCTGTTGGTGTACTTCTTGTTGCCGTAAGTGAGACCGATACGGTGCTCGTTCGCATAAAGAAGGTCAGAGACGAAGTAGATCAGGTTGTCAGGTCCTCCGCGCTCACGTGCGTGAATGCCTACTCGAGTTAGTTTGATCTACGACAGCTTGATCGATGCATACCTGACGTGAAATAGATGTACTGCTTGTCCTTCTTGATCTTCTCTGCCTTGTTGGCAACACCACCGATGATGTTCGCACCCTCGTAGGTCTTGTGTGGCGTGGTGAAGATGGACATGCCGTACTCTTTTTCCAGACCCTTCATGGCGGTGTAGACTTCGTCGGCATTGAAGACACCAGCGCTCTGAAGCTGGGCGTACTCGCTGGGCTTCCTGGTGCCGAGACCGCGGGGCGCAACCTTTCCACCCTTGAAGCGATCACCCTTGCCAATGGGTGCAGTCGCAGTCTGTCGCTTGTTCATGTTGTGCAGAAGCTCAACGCGAACGAGCTCGGGGTCCAGGCTTCGCTTGAAGTGGTCCAAATGGTCCTCTGAGATGACGGCGTGCAGCTTGTGCTCGCCACCCGCAGCCATGACAACAGGACGGCAGCCATAGTCGATCTCGCTGTTGGCCGAGATGAAATCATACAGCTGGTTCTTCTCCTTCGCGTAGAATGCGACGCTCAAGACATCGGATGCGAGAACAGCGCCGGGAAGCAGACCGAGGAGTGTGGAGACCTTCATGGCAGGCTGCGATAATAATAATGCTGCGACGAGTAGAAATTGAGAGTCGTACAGACACAGACTGTCGCCATCCTGCTCTTATTTATTCAAGGTCGATTGCTTGGTACTATGTGTCGCGAGCCTCTTAGAGAAGAGCGTTGCTTCCAGCTTCCTCATCCGGTAATGGGGAGGCGGTTCTCCAAGACTCCAAGACAGCAAGCGTACTTGGCTGGCGTACCTGCCCTACGATTCTAAGCAGGTCCGAACTGTTATCTTCTGCTATGGCCACACGAAATGTACTCTAACCCGGATGATGGCGCTGGTGGTGGGCCAACGAATGCGAAAATGCTCTAAAGGATCCAGACTCCTGGTCCATGGTGTCGAAGGCGTTGCCAAGACTGATGAATGTGGGTTAGCAAGGCACCGGCGGTTGTTGCTACAGGATCGTGAGTGAGTTGCAGATAAGCATCGCCCCGAGGCTGTCAAAATCAAGCTCTGTGTTCCCCACAGCCGAGTGGATGTATAGTGTCTCTGGGGTGAGACATGTAGGAAGAGCTGGAGAATGCGCAGGGCTGCACTTGATACACGCTAGGATGGCGCGAAGAACGATTTACATGTTGTCGCATGGCGATATCCTGTCAGGCCGAGCGAGGATGTCTGTTGCATGTTGGCGACCACGAATTGAGATGTGCAATGGGTGAGGAGTTCGAGTGATGACTGTCTCCAGGACGCGTTCGCGCTTGTTGCCAAGACACTGCGCAGCTAACGCCTATCTCCGCGCCCAGATGTGTTCGTCATCTCCTTCATCGACTATCAAAAGCAAACATGGAACCGGCTTGATATCCGATTGCGCCTGCGAGGCCACCAGAACTCGCGATGGATTACAGCCCTCTAACTCCAGAGGTCAACGTCCTGCTGTTGGGCGATTCAGAAGTCGGGAAGTCGACGTTCTTATCGTGAGTTCGGCGCGCGCGGTTCGCGTGACAGTTGATGTCGATTGACGTCTTGCTACCATTACTGACGTATTTGCAGTCGCCTGTCGCTCGGCGTACAGCCTCAGGGCGATGAACTTCCACCGTATGAGCTACCCAAGCTACGCGACATAGACCAGCCCTATGCCTTCGACATCTCGCTCTATGGCCGGCCGTACAGGCTGCAGTTCTTTGACACTGCGTCGCCTCAGAACTACACTCTCCTGCACCCGCAATTTGTGATCCTCTGCTACGACATCTCCTCGCGCGCATCCCTCGACTCTCTAGCCTCGACATGGTTGCCGATCGTGAACAAGCACTTCAACTACGACGAGAACCTGCCTGTGATGGTCCTAGGCTTGAAGCGAGACCTGAGGAAACAATGGACGTTAGCGGAGCATGGCCCAGATAAGAAGGGCAAGGGGCCGAGTGTCATGCCACACGAGGGTCTGCAGGCGGCGCAGAGGATGCTGTGCGACCACTATGCTGAGTGCAGCGCCGTGACAGGGGAGCTATGTAGGCAGGTGCTGGAAGACGTCGCAAAGACGAGTGCGAAGACCACGACTGAGAAGGGCGCCAAAAGCCAAGGGGCTGACATGTGTAGTATGATGTAGTTGGTAGATATATCGAGAGTATAATTGGAAGTAAGCGCGTCGAGCCATACACGTGCAAAAGGAAGATTCGATCAAGCATTACATCATATCATAGAGGGCGCATTAGATCCTGCTGGTAGCAAAAACAGTGCATTCGGCTCGAATGAAACGGCAAAAAATTGGTTCATGCGACACCTGTGTGATTCGAACACACGCTCCCGAAGGAACTGGCTAACTTTCCTGTGAAGGACTAGCAGGCCAGCGCGTTAACCACTCCCTGAAATTTTGATTAGTAAGCGTTGAGCAGACAGACCGGATCAAACGTACGCCAAAGTGCCTTAAATTTGCTGTTTTGCTGATTGATGGAGAGCAAAGAAATCTGAGCGTATATATTAGGAGATGCTGAAGCCAGCTTGCGCATGGCTGAGCGGGGAAGCGGGGTTCGGGTGGGGGCCGACAGCACGACTAGGGAGACGCATCTGACGGCACACCCAGTTTACATGCAGTGACTGCTTTAAACTTTGCACACTCATGGACATAGAGATGTGTTAGAGGAGAGCATGAAAGACGGGTGAAAATTTATCGACTCTCATCCCTCAGAAGCGCACTAGTCCTCTAGGGGTTAAGAGCATTTCAGAAAACCAAAGTATCAATTGGCCTTTGGTCAGACTCCAACTACAGACCGACAGCGCATTGCAGCTTCACAAGTGCTTCACCGATTTACCGCTGGTATAAGCCTTCGGATTGACTACGTTGAATCTCCGCTTGAAGACAGCAGCTTTGTCCAGATTACAAGTCAGGTCGAATGTCGGAGAGGAAGCGGTTCAATCACACGGCCAACGCTCAACCATGAACTCTATTTTGGCCATGCCAATGTCACTCTCACTCACCTATGCGCTGTTTCAAATCGCGATGTGACGACTGCTGCATCATTTGAGCTGTGACGACACTTCACCCAGCCTCTGGCTCGCTTACATGCGGGCCAATCACACGCCACTCGTCCCTGCGTCCTGGAGCTGGCTCAGGCTCCGCCTCATCGTCACAACTCAACAACTCCTCGACGCTTGTCGTGCCCTTGTTCTCGTCGCTACGTATGTATACACGTCAAATTCCATCAGCGACGTGGCACCAGTCCAGCTGTTCAGGTGCATCTCGCCAAGTTGCCCTGTGAATACATCATGGGGCAGGCGCCCGAGTGCTGAGGCAGGCACTCTTCGTTCGCGTCCGCTCATCGACTTCCGTAGCCCTGGCCGCCTGAAAATGCAACGAGAGGGAGGCTGACGTCCAGCCGAGGAAAGCAACAAACCCCCTGAAACACCTCCGGGGCTTACCATGGAAACCACATCCAGGAGCAGACAATGTTATCCTTACACGCAGCATAATTGGAGACGTCAGATCCAGGTTGTCACGTTGAAGAAGAGCTGCACGTGGTGAAAAGACCTCAAGTTTGAGCAAAGTCGTGAAGGAACAGACATTCTTTTCTGCATTAAAGCGAAACACATCTCACGTATTGTCAACAACAACGTGGTAGCCAAATTATCCTTCCCACAAAACCGAAACGCCGACTCGAAACCTCGAGACATCATAATGGTCCGTATACCATAACTCATCAGTCGGTCCGCCCAGGGATAAATGCACGCTAAAAGATACTTGACGAGAAAGAGGTTGAACGTATTAAACGGAAACGTGGGTATAGGGCGCATGCTCTTCGGACTCCTAGACCATGGCACGAAGTGAAATCAAGGCTGTCTTTTGCGCCGCGATCATGTACTTCGTCTTATGCGTTGATTTATTGGGATGGGCGCGTTTACGAAGACGTGGGATTCGTCGGCGATGCGAGACTGCTTCTCCTCGTATTCCAAGGAAGACATCTTTAGGTCATCGATTTGTGCCTATCAAGTCAGCCTTCATACGCCAAGTAATGATACGCTTGAGCTACCTTGGTCAGCGGTGGTCCGATGGTGGTGATCAGAAATCCGTCGCGTCCCTGTCAACACAATTAGCGTTCTGCTATACTCAACCACCACCATTGCAAAGTACCTGGAAGGTGTAGGGCCGAACAATCGCATCCGGGCCGCAATGATAGCGTATCTCGTTCTGAATAACGGCTCTTGAGATGCCGAAGCCTGGCACGAAGTACGAGTTGGGCACAGCCATGATGATGGTTTGGGATGGTCACGTCGGCAGGGTATTGCAATGTTGGCTGGACTCGATGTTCGCGGGCTGGGGATGATGGTAAGGTTGGGCGCGCTGGGGACTTATACATCTGACTCGCAGCCTTGCGACTGGGGAATCGGTTGCATACACTCTATCTACACCGGTTCCAGTCCGGATGAGGATGCGATGCATCGGCTGCGACCAAGTCCCCCGTTGGGCGTGGACGCGTCCGCCTCATTGTTCGCCTCGAAAGCCCAATCACCGCCATTGGGCAGCGACTAAGACCGGGTCTTGCAGCACCCTTTGCAATTGACCACTCACGGAATTCCCACTGCATTTTCTGGTATATCTCTTACTCTTGGAGGACTATTGCGGTTTCGTTATGCTTCGCACCTCGGCGCTAATTGCTGGAGCGGCCAACGCAGCTGCCACGTCTGCAGATGGATGGTCTCTCGCGACAACTACGGATGCTTAAAGACGATCTCTTCGCCACCAAACGTTCCAAAGGAGTTTGCGATATGTGATACTCCCACACCCTCTTGCAGTTCCAAGCCAGCGGGCTCAACCTGTTCTTCCAGATGCGATGAACTTGGCGCCAAAGGTTTCTAGCGGAGAAACCTCGACGCCGATCATACCCCGGCTCAACTTCCACGATGGGTGACACCCAGTCGCCCCACGGTAATCGCACAGCAGAAGGAAAACAGTGTCGCGGTGTCTAAATTCGGCCAGCGTGGCTTCACCGCTAGATCTGTTAAGCGAAGGCGCGATCGCATCCAGGAGATCCCTTCCGCACGCGCTGCTATGGGTATGAATGCATCCAGCTCCGGGGATGTTCCAGGTTTCGAATATCCCAAGAGCCGAGCCGAGACCCTATAGTATCCACCATCATGTACCTTGGTTGACGCAACAACGGCACCCAAGCACTTGGACTCCTTCCACAGCAGACGGACTAAGCGCCAACACCATCTGGCGACTCCATCTCACTGTGAGGCGAGCCTGGTTTACCCCGCTTGTCATTGATGATCTACTTCGACACTACCGGGAAAGGTGATAGATTACGGCATGTGGTGCCAATGGCAAGAAGAGAGTGTTCAGCAACACCTCTTGCTATCGCTTCGATTGTGAAGCTGTTCGTCTGAGGTGTTCATGCGTTCTGTTCCCTTCGGCATAGATCATCTCTTGCGGCCAACAAATCTCAACGGAACGCGCATCATTGCTCGAAGATACAGGATCACCACCGGAGTTGCATCCTAACGGCGGTCTCGGCTCTTGCAATGGCCGCATGAGTCGTGTACACGTGTGCGACTTCACGAACATGTGCCCAATGCCCAACGTCCGAGCGTTTAGGTTCCATCACAACAAGCATTCCATCGACGTAGCCAGCATGCTGTACCTACAGCACCTTATGCACCGGACTACCCCGCAGAATCAATCATGCAGTCGCCTCCTACGCCACCTCACCTTGCATCCGGTGTCAAGGTCTCACCGAAATTGTCGCCTTACGTCATGATGTCACGGATGAGACGACACGACGCAGTGGATGTTGTGAGGCATTATGAGTTTGGAGGGAGAACCTGGTGGCGGCCATTTCGCGGGCTACGAGGAACCCCGGGCACATCGAATGCGTGATCACGCCATATTCAGTCGGCGGTTCCTACTTACCGGCCTTACTGGAAGACAGCGGAAGATGGCGCAACCCGAGGTACTCCGCAACTAACGCAAGACCAGAGAGCGTACCTACCGTGACTATACAGTAGCAATGCAGGGGATCTGAGCGGCTTGGAAGTAATGCACCTAGTGTTGACGAGAAAGCGCATTTCAGGGACGGATGATCGTAGGTAGGATCTGACAAGCAAGGTACGGCTACCACTTCCGGCAGAGAGCAACTCTTTCAAAAACGACTGTTCGTTAAAGCGGCCGAAATCATAAGCCCGAGAAGTCGCCCCGCTGCCACTCTGCTCTATCATACGACTGTTCTCCGATCTCGTATAGCTTTTGACATGTATAAGGCCTTGTTCACCGGACATTGACAAGGCTCAGCCCGGTTGTGATCATTCGGGGCGACAATCTCGACAACATCGTGTCCCTAGGGTCAGCTAGCAATTCGGCAGACGTGTCCTGACAAAATTCACGACTGTCACAGGGCTGTCACTTTGCAGAGCGATGGCTCTTCGAATGGGCAACGGCGACGGACGACTGGCACACTGGAGATGGGAGGGTATCAGGCAATGCGTTCTGTGACGTCTTCCATGCCTATGGAGTCTAGCACACCCTGATTGAGACCCGATAGGCGATGCGCCCAAAGAAAGATACCGTCCAAACCCCCACTCGCCACAGACTAGTAAGCTGCCTTCAGCCCTTGTCTGCCCTGTTCAAAGAGTAGAACCGGAGCATGGGTCAGCGGGACTACGTGTGAGACAATTGGCATGAATTCTGCTAACGATTACTATATGTGGCCACTCAGATACTTCCACAGGGAAATCCCTTCTACAGATTGCTGTTCTGTGTCAGTTACTCGCGTCAGCTTCATTCCATGGTCCCACGCCACCACCATCACACCGCGACCGAGCCCACAACGGCAAAATCCTGTGAACAGCACACGCTTCATCCGGTGGTTGGATACGATGGCTCTCTCATTGACGGACAAAGATCGAGCGCAATAAGCGCAAGGCTTCACGCTCTTAGTAGTGGAGGCGGAACACAGCCGAACGAACTGACGAGAAACACTATTTGCCCTTGGTTGATCGCAATCCGTACATGCGGCCTGCAACATCTTCAGCAAAGTGCAATCACAAATTCGCCACGAGCGGCATTCCGAGCACGAACCGTGGATCTCGCGTGCCACGTCAACCGTCCTTGTCAATGCGCGTTCGCCGTTGTTGATCGCGGCAAAATGCATGCAGCGCATCATATGCAGGTCTTGCTAAGACCCAGTACCTGCTCTAGTTTTACCAGACTCTTCCATAAACGCCCCTTCACAAATGGTTCTGTCAGAAAGTGAGGCTTCGTAATTTCCGAAGTCGTAACCCTGCTTGCCGATCCGATTACGCCCTAAGCCGGGACGGCCACCACGATGTACTCTGCCGGTTGCGCGGCGTTCGGTAACACCAGTCAACACGGCATGCGTGAATGACATGAGTAAATGGGATTTTCGAGAAGCAAGGCGACCAATAGAAGTTGTGTCAGAAGCTCGTGCACTCCAAGTGCCGATCCTTTGAGTTGGCGAAGCGGCCCACTTCCTCCCTTGGACTTTGCTTATTGCGGAGCCGAAGTTGTGAGCCTCACGAATCTCTTGACAGTCGGCTGGAAGCCCTCCTCTGATCCACCCCTCGAAGGATCTGGCTTTGGTTCTGTGTTTTCATCGAATCCAAGAAAGAGGACGCATATGGAAGGTCTGCTTCAACTTATACGCTGACAAGGTCCAGCTGAATCTAAAATACTGAACGCGATGCGTCAACACTCGCTAATCTAGACTTTCATCTACACTACATCGTCTTCGTGTCCAGGAAAGGCTTGGACGAAAGAATACATACTATCAACGTTTGCCGCATACGGTCGCGCTCGAGCACTCGACAAAGACGTTCCGATAACCCAAAGACTGGACTACGCAATACTATCAGACTCCTCCCAAGTACACGTACCACGATATCGATATAACGCAGGTGTCCTCAGCATGACCTTCGAGGTCACAGCTGTAACGCCTGAACGCCCCCGACCCTAGCCAGACTGCTACGACGTACTCTCCGCAAGCCCGACAACCACGCGTTGTCTATCCTATCACCTCATACACGAAAAACCCTAAACAGGCCTGCGGACTACATCAAGACAAGAACCTGCAAAGTAGGTGACCTGACGTCAACGTAGGCTCCACGGTGTTCAGCTTTTTCCTAGATTGGTGCGGTGGTTCAAAATACTTTTGATCATCCACAGGTAACATAGAGCTGCCGGTACATCATGCAAACAGCTACAGCGCGTTACCAAAACCACAATGGTGATACTTATTGTTCCTGCCCAGTTGGGCTGTGATCGTTGGGGAGTTTCTTCGTAATTACACATTAATGGATTGCTAGCTGAGCAAGCCCGGGGTATCATTGTTCAAGAACGCCAGAAGATCCGATGCAATACCTCCGCTACGATCGCGTCCCTCCAAACCCTGGTCCAAATGGAAACGAATCAAACATACTTACCTTCTAACAGTAGCTCCCGTTGCGACTTCTTGGGCGTTGCTGAAAGAGGTAACTTCTGTCGCATGTTTGTACTCCGGTTGCTGAGCACAGATGTGCTTGACGAGCGCGAGTTCTTCGACCTGGAAGACTGCGGCGACACGAAGTGCTGATTCGCAGGTTCATCGCGGAACACAGGCGTGCGCCGACCGATCGTCTCTGGGCTATCGGTGTCGCGCGGATGAGCCTGCGTGATGGTCTCTGCTCTGTCATCGCGCAGGGCCTCCGCCTCAGTGACCAGTGTTCCACCAACTTCTTGATCCTGCTGACCGCGCACGACTCCCATCTCAGTGGACAGCATCCCATCCCTTACAACCTCCCCCTCAGCATCCAGCGTCCCACCCGCAGCAACCCACCTCCTCAAATGATCCTCCCGCAACCTCTCCCCAAACCCCGTCCAACGCACCCCAACCCTCATCGGAATCCTGCCCGCCCTCTCCAAAGCATCATACCAATCTCTATGCTCCGTCCAAACCAACCTCCTACTGCATTTACTCGTCGTCGGCGATCTCCCTATATCAGCGACATGCTCAAACAGCATTCCCCCGGTTGCCGTCGGCGTGTCGATATCGAGGTTATCCAGAATACTAGCCTTGATATCGCGATCAAAACACAGCCACTCTACCACATTATCCCCCGTCCGGAAACCTAGCGCCGAGCCACCGAGCTGGAAGACATCAGCCAGATAGCCGACTTCGAGACACCCCGGTGGGATTTCATCGCCAGCCGGAACGGGTTTCTTGCGGAACGGGTCGTCGGATCGGAGCGCGCAGACGA